ACTTTAGTAAAAGTAGAGTTTCTGTCATCTTTAAGTCTTCATTTCAAATGCATTCTGAAAAATATCACCAAGACTTTGAGAAAAGGAAAGCACACATCATCATTATTTCTTTCCTCATTAGTACTGGTTATATAGAACCAAAATGTGGTAGCCAATGAATAACCAATAAGACAAAGTCTTGACTGAAGTTCCAATGCATGCTGGGGCATCCCTGGATTCTGACACACAGAACTTACTACATTGAAGTTTTCTTTCTTTTTTGATCAGCAGCTCCCTGAAATAAAGTTATGCCTATCAAAACCATTGCCATCTCCTTAATAATAGTGCTTGCATTAGAGTACGTGATGAATAATTTTAAATACATGATTAAATGCAGGCAGGTAAAATTGATGAACATATGGCTAAAAGTATATGACACTAGAACTTATCCATTATGAAGACACCCACCCAATGCATCTTTCTACTTTAAAATAGTTGTTTTAATGGCTTAAAGATTATTTTGTTATGCTTTTGCTTTGTGACTAATGAATCTCAGTATTCTGAGAGAGTAACTTACTTGTCCAAGAATGCTATTCCTTACGTTTTTTTTAGGTTTAGTATTAAACTATGGGGGAAATGTCCCTGTATTCACTGATGTCCTTCAGGTGTATACCTTATTTTTGCCTAAGGGTACACATTACTCCTATGAATGGATATAAAAGCAGCAGCTATGATTGTGACCTTTCACATGGAGAGGAATGAAATATGCTAATTGCATAGATTACTTACTTGGTCCCTTGACCAAAGTCAGTGGACATCTACTTATCTTAAGCAACATGAATGCCTGCCACAGAGGAAAACTTTGTTTTGATATGTTGTGATCATAACATCTGGGGAAGGTTTGGAGGAAGATTTTATGCAACAAAATCATTAGCATTTGTGGAAAGGCTGTTGCTGTAGCCAGAAAACTGAGGGGAATGATGGATGACCGGAGCACACAAAAATGGGTGGGGCCACATCAGCCTGATAAAGAACTGCAGGATTTGGATCACTGAGAGCTAAATTCAGAGGGCCAAGAAACCCTGAGATTTGCAAAGACATTTCTACTAAGATGTGGGCAGGAGCTGTTCCATGCTAAACAAATGTTATAATCAGAGAGCTAATTTCAGAAATGTCCTACTTGTTTTTTTTCCTAAAATGAATATAATTTAGTTAAGCAGAGAAATTAGTAATTTTATTCGATGGTTATGATGAGCCAGTTTAACAAAGATCTATTTTTATTTTTAAATAGCATAATTGAATAAAATATCATGCTGTTCTCAGTGATTGCATTAGCTAGTTCTCCTGGAAGACAGGCTATTCAGACCCCAGACCACATTCAAGTTACTACCTCTTCCTGGCAGAAGCTCTTCCTAATTAAATATCATTAGGAAACTGATGGAGGATTAGGCTTGTAAACTGATGTAAAATATCACCAAATAAAAGGACTCTCTCTTCTTGAGACCCTAAAATGCCATGGATAAGTTTCAGGGCAAGGTACATTTCATGCTTCAAGGAAGGCAACATAAACAATGAACAACTACAAGAACTGCTGATCATGGATTTTATGACACAGGCAATGTCAGATACCATACACAATACTGACACAATGACAGAATTAACCTCAGTTACAGTGAAGACAAAATAAAATAATGACTTGTTTTTCCTTTTCTATCTTCGCCTGCTGGGGTGAACTATATGTATGGTAATGATTAACATGCTTTAAAAATGTTCTCTGCCTTTTAAACTTATGCAATAATATAGGATGAATATATGTATACAAATAAAAATATTTGTCTATATGTGTGCATGTATATGTATATATGTACAATCATGCATATGTATGAACAAGGTGTATCTGACACAACATATAAGCAACCATGTTTATCAGTGCTGACAGTTTGTTTCTGGGGACTAAGACAGGATACCGATACAGAATGATGTCTTCATGTTTCATATGATGCTCTCTGTGGTATTAGAACGTGTTACATAAGTGGTATATGCTACTTTCAAAATGGAAAAAATAAAAATACAAGTTGTCTCAATTACATTGACATGTAATAAAATGAAACAAGTGTCCCTTGTTTTCTAAAACATGAATATCGTGAGGATTCTAACAAATATGTCTCAGTAGTTCTCAAGGCAAAGGAACTACCTGTTGAGGACCTCCTAATGCATACAGATCTGACCGGGTAGTGACATAAAGATAAGGACAGCAAGGAATATGAAATTTTCTGCCAGTTTTTACTGATTGTATAACTGTGCTTTTGTCAGCTCAATTCTACTCAGAACTTGTACTGGTTCTGAAACATCTCCCCTCTAATGGTAACTAGATGTCTCTCAAAGCAAAATTCCCAGTGGTGGTGTGGGGAATTTCCTTCTAGGCTTCATACCTTCTCCTGTCCTTCTAGACTTCATAACCTTCTCCTGTCCTTTATGGAGTCCTCCAATGTGATCAAGGCCTGCTGACCTGTGCTGTTTCCCAAGGTGGTGAAAATGGCTGGTTGTCTTTTAGTAACTCCATTTTCCATTCTTCCAGCAGCAGAATGGAAAAGTGAATCTCATGACCGGAAGAACTAAACACAGGAACACCAGCTAGGTGGACTGCCCCTTGTAGTCTCAGTTGTTTTTTTTTTTTTTTTATAAAATCACCATTTCTCATAGTCATGTGGGTTTTCAAACTAGGCCCAGACCATTTGCTCTGTACTTCCGGTGTACTTCGTAAGCTGAAATGGAAACTCCTGGGACCATATGCCCTTAGCTCTTTCTAAAACCCATGGCAGACACACATAGCAAACAATGATTAAAAAATACTACAGGAGGTAGATTTACCATCAAAACCATTAAATGCCCTTTTCCTTTCCTCCCTCCTTTTCCCCCATATTTTTGAAAACCTGACAATCCACTTTTCATTCACCTTTAGAGGGTTTTATGTCTTCAAAGAGATAGATCATCTATTGCTCCCATCACTAATAGGATCTAATGCTTTTTCTGTTTGTTTGTTTTTGAATGATTTCCAGATGGGCCAGGTCCCTTACAGTAGTCAAGCACTTCATCTGTTTTTTATTCCAAGGGTTTATTTGTATCTCTGATCGGCCGTTTTTGAATTGGCACAGCCACTTATACCCTAAATATTCTCTTGGCTGGAAGCATTTGCACAGAACTGTGAGGTGGTAGTTGATGAAAGTAATGTCCTGTGTGGTAGCGTGGCAGTTGGGTCACTTGACTGCTCTGGCCAATTGTCTGACTCTATCCAGGAAATGGAAGGCACCATTCAAAGCCAAGCTCCAGTCTGTTTTAAGGATTAGATTTCTATCATCAAAAGACCTCCTCAACAGTGGCAGCAATGGAAGGAATGCCCAGCAGAAGCCCAGTGATTAAATTCTCCTGGAGAATATTTTTTTTTCCCAGCTTCTGGAAATAATCGACAGCAATCCAAAATTCTTTCCCTCACTGTAAAATCCAAAAGAAGGGCTCCATTCCTGAGACTGATGTAGGGAAATAAATTACTCATAACCAACTCATTCTCCCACAGCTGGAAATGATGTCAATAAGTTGATTCTGAAGTAATGACACAGAGAAAGGCTGTGGTAACAGAATTCCCCACCCACTGAAAGGCTGTTCCAACTTAATACAGTACATGGCACATCCACACTTTCAAAATGATGATAGGTGACCAACATATGATTCAGATAAACCATGCCTCACAACTGGACATTAAATTAAATATACAGCAATGATCACATGCAGAAACACAAGGAAAACATTTTGCTGTGTCCGAAAGCAAAATAAAAAGAAGTTTGGGAGACATCAGATTAAGCCCCCCCCCAAAAAAAAGAAAGAAGGAAAGAAAGGAAGGAAGGAAGGAAGGAAGGAAGGAAGGAAGAAAAGAAAGAAAGAAAGAAAGAGAGAAAACCCTTGGACACTTCACTTTTATTTTTGACTTATATCCAAGTCAAGTTAAGTATTTGGACAGAAAGTTAGAAACCTTTTCTCCTGATAGCTTAGCCATTGTGGACTCCCCTCTGATCTGTGGTATGATCAGACATCTATCTCCCTTCGAATACCAGATCGACTACATTCTCACAGTGGTTTGTATTAAGAACTTTCTGATAAAGAAACACAAAGTAGCACAAGGACTCAAGGAGATCATCTCATACATGGGTAGTGGGGTTAATGGGTATGACCTTAGGACTTGATAAATAAATAATAGGTAAAACAGATATTGGAACCAGGTAGGCTGAAAATCTGGCAGTGGAATATATTAAACAGGTCTTTGTCCTTGGGTCAATCAAGCCTTCCTGGAAGGAATGAAAATAAAAAATTTATAAGGAAAACCTAAAATGGACCGCCTCTCACCACTCCCCCCAGGAGTCTACAGAAAATGGCCACAGTGCAACATTGTAAATGCTGTTTTCTTGCTCAAGGGTCCTATCTTGACATATATTGCTACTTCTGCTTTTGATGTTCTGTTGTTGTCTTTTTTTTTCACCCAAGTCGATTAGACTGCTTTCTATTATCGCTCTACAAAGACTAGAAGTAGACGTTAGAGTGCTCCATTTCTTGGAACCATAGTTCCCAGAGGGCTTCTGCCCAGTACATAGAACTGAGTGGTTTTGCAAATTAGCTATGGGACTTTGTTTAATTCTTTGCTCATCTCGATTGCAGCAAAAGGCAAAGAGGGCTACACATAGGCAGTACAGAGCTGTACAAACAGCCCAAGCTGAACCAGTCCTGCATCAGCGATCGATCACAGCCCAGCCTGTGGACTGACCCCTGGGTAACCTCTCTGAGGACCCTCCAAGCACAGACAGACCCATACCACCTCACAATACCTCAGAGATATAGCACGCATGTTGACACCACCCACGTGGCACTTCCCAGCTCCTACATCATAAAACAGGAAGGGGAGGGGACAGGACATGCAAAGAGTCACCAAGTAGTTTTGGCATATTTAGTGTTGGAAAGGGAAGAGGTTTTACAGTTATATTTCTGTGGAACATCCAAAGGGTTTTTTTTTAAAGACCTCCAGACAACCTTGTGGTCTTCAAAGACTCATTGGAAAGAGAAGAGCAATATGTGTATTTTTTTTTGAGTTGATGGGTAATTACAGTAGAATTGTGTGGTAGTAGGGAGAGAGACGAATGCATAGGAAGAGGAGAGAGCAGTGCCATTTAAATGAACATCCTTTGAATCATTAAAATAAATTATACAGGTGAACACAGAAGGTCATGCTGCTTGCTGGAAGCAATAGGATCACATTTTGTGGAATCGTACTCCACAAATCTCCAGGTAGCCTGGCCTCCTTCTGAATGGGCTATCGTGTCCTGTTGTATATCGTGATAGCCCTTAAACAGCGGGTGGCATGGTCTCCGATCGATTCTTGCAGAGAGAGACAGATACATGGATTCCATCAGCTTCTTCAGAGGAGCTGCCCAGTGGCCAGGAGGGCACAGGTGATATGCTTGCTCATGTTCTTCTTGCCTGTCTATGGGGGTCACACAGCCGTTTCCAGATCCTCATGGCCAATGAGCTTATAGTTCTGGCGGCTTTCTAGATAAGCTGCCAAATCTGGGTCCCCAGCCTGCTGTGCTCTGTCTTGAGGTGTCTTACCCTATAGGTTCAGTGAAGAGGAAAGAGAAAAATACCTGGAGTGAAATAATATGTATATATTGTCACAAAAACAGAGGCTACCTAAAGATTACTATCACCACTAAGAATCCTTTCATGCTTGGTGATTTAGAGTTTGTATGACAGTTTCAAAGCCACTGTCTCTTATGATCACCATTATATAGAAGATAGGAGAATGGCAAATATTAAGAGTTTACATCTTCAGCCAAGTGCCTATAATCCTGACTACTTGGGAAGCTGAGACTGGAGGGTTGGTTGTGGTTTGGATTAAGATATCCAGTTGGCTAGCCAGACAGTGAATAGACCAGCCAAAAACCCAAACACAGCTAAGTGTGTTGAGCCTCCTGAGGGAGGAGGGTAAGGAGACTGAAGAATTTCATGCAAAGCCATTGGCTCAGGAAGTAAAGAAGGTCCACTTAGAAGACGAAGTTATTGCCAAGTGTGCACTGTAGTTTGAGGCATTACCAGGGCAGAAATTGTACATATGTGGTCATTGATTAAGCTTCCAAGTAATAGCCATATGAATAAATCTTATACATATGTATATATGTATGTATGTGTGTATGCATGCATGTATCTATATGTATATATCTGTGCATATGTGTATCATTGACTCAAAATCTATTCCTTGATACATGTGTACTGAGAGCCTCATCTATACATTCAAATCCTGTTCTTCAACCCACTGTAGTTGAAGCGTTACTATTCCCTTGCAGTTTTCATAGTGCTTTAAAACTCTGAGTGCCAAGCTGGGGACATAGCTCAGTGGTAGAGAATTTGACTAGTCTATGTGAAGCTCTGGGTTCAATCCCCAGTACCACAAGGAAACAAAACAATCAAAACTAAAAGCTTCTTTTCCAAAACTGAGTGCTTAGCAACATCCTCTATTGTATCAATATTCTGTATAAGCTCTTTCTCTATCAAACACACACACACACACACACACACACACACACACACACACACACACACAGAGGCTCAGTCCTAGGTCAGCTCTACTGAGCTGCAACTCCTCCTTTACTCCATCTTGCAACTCTTTCTCTTGAGTGAGTTGGCTCACAATGAAGCCCAATTCTAGTTCTCCAAATAAGTTTCCCCTAATGACTTTTCTTGTGGGTACTTGCTGATCAAAGTTCACACACACACACACACACACACACACACACACACACACACACACACCATTAGCAATATCTGGTCTCACCATCCTCTTAAAATATTTATTTGTCCACTTTCAAACCAGTTTTACATTAATTTTTCTGCAAAGAAAGCAATCACATTTCAGGTCCCATGGATAGAAATATTGCAGAGCAAACATGAAAACCAACTTTGTAACTTGCTTCACACATTCATTTTGCTAGCTATTCTATTACAGGCTGGGTGTGGTGGCTTAAGCCTGTAATCTAAGCCAGTACAAGTATAAAGATTCAGAAGAGTCCGTCTCAACCTTGTGGTTGAACACAGTGTTGTGCGTCTGTCATCCCCAGCAACATGAGGTTAACCTGGGATAAAAGTGAAATGCTACCTTGAAAGTTACCAATGCAAAAAGGAGATTGGAGGGATGGGTCAAGAAGTACAGTGCCCTCCTCCTTGCCTGGCATGCACAAGCTATGAGTTCATACTACTCAGGAGGAGGAGTATCGGGGGCGTAGGCTACTGGGCATTTAACCTCTTTTAGATTTCCATTTCTGTAACTGTCAGTGCCAATAATTCCCACCTCAATTCATAGGGGGTAACTTTTGGAGAGTATGTAAGGTAACATTTGTGAACAAATAAACTTTTTATGAAGCAAATGATAAAGAACTACCTAAATTCACCAGACTTAAGATTGTAGCCATCTCACACCAGGGCTCATCATCTGGGGAGTTCACAGGTAGAACAATCACATCCATCATAGATTTAAAATTACACAGAGTGGGGGGGCACTGGTGGCTCAGCCTGCCATCCTGCCCACTCAGGACCCTGAGATCTGAGGATCATGGTTTGCTTCGGAGGGTGAAGCCAGGAGACTCTTTTTTTTTTTTTTTTTTGGGTCCGGTCGTGGGGCCTGAACTCTGGGCCTGGGTGCTGGCCCTCAGCTCTTCAGCTCAAGGCTAGCACTCTACCACTTTTTTTGCTTATGTGGTGCTGAGGAATCGAACCCAGGGCCTCAGGCATGCAAGGCAAGTGCTCTACCACTGAGCCACCTTCCCAGCCCACCAGGAGACTCTTACCTCCAATTAATCAGCGAAAAGTTAGAACTGGAAGTGAGACTTGGATGGTAAGTGGGAAAAGACATGCAAGAGCTCAAAGATCCAAATGATCTGAATTCAAGCCCTAGTACTGGCCAAAATAATAATAGTACCAAAAATACTACTACTACTACTACTACGAATAATAATATCAATTAGTAATAATACCAAAATAATAATAGTAATAATAATAACAAAAATCCTACTACAGGAGACTCAGTATGGAAAGAGAAATCTTGATTTTTGTCAGTAGCCAGGCCAATATCTCCCACACGGCCCTGACTCCAATTCTAGGGGTTTAGATCCCATCTCTCCACTACCTGCCTGCTGGTGCCCAGTAGGATATCCCAAAGTCCCCAGGACAGCAGCATGTGGAGGGGTGTACAGAGTTCTATAGGCAAGCACACACTCCCGCTTTGTGCTTATACATTTCAACCGCAGTCTCTCTAAATGAAACACTCTATTTTTTCCTCCTTTTTCTGAAGCCCCGGGCACTTCCATGAGCACAGAAAGGATGCTTGTGCTGCCGGTCCTGCCGGCGGCAGGCTCTGCGAACTTGCCCAGCCGCAGCATGCTTGGACGGGCTCACCCAGTTACCTTGGAGTCCGTCTTTCTCAGAGATGCTCCCGCATCCACCAAAAGCTGGCACACCGCCCGGTTCCGCTGGCAGGCAGCCTTGTGCAGTGCAGTCTCACCCCTAAATCAAAGATGAAATGGGAAACCACCCATGAAGGGGTTCAGTTACAGGCGTGGAGGCGGGGGGGAGAGCAGGTGGGGTGAGCGAGCCTTAGCCTACTCTGTTCCTGCTGGGTGCTCCTGTGCCTCCTTCCTGGGACCAGCATTGGAGGGTACATTCCCAAAGAGAGTGTCTGAAAATTCTGAGTTAGTCATCAACTGCTCTGGGATCCGGTTCAAACAGGGCTGGTTAACTAAACCTACTGATGACACTTTTCAACCCATTACTGTGGGACTTAGAGCAGACTGGATGGCTCTAAGACCAATTGTGCAGTTGCATCCCAATGCTGAAGCAGTTCTCCTGCAGCCACTGATGCCACATAAAGGGCTCTCAGTGGAGATGCACAGGGCGCTAAGTGGAGGCCCGTGCCCACTGATCACATCTCACAGCTCCCGGTAGACACCACTGGGCCTTTGGAGGAATAAGTGCTTGGAGTCTAATTTCAAAGGACCAGGCTGGCCCTTATTCTGCTCAAGCCCTCTTGGTTCTATGTGTGTGGCAGGTGCAGGGGTCTCTGAGAGCCCTCATGAGACTGTAGAGACGTCAGGAGCCCAAGTTCTCTCAAGGAGGCAGCAGATGGGAAATGAATAAGAGAATGTAAATAGTTCCCAGGCTCCCTATGGAAGAGGATCGTCTCATTCTGAGCTCCAAAAGATGCTTCATGCCAAATGGTTTCATGAGAAAAGGCAGAGCATCATCCTTAAACAAGCATGGATGAGGATGGTACCGCTTCCAACCACACAAGCAGGACCAGCTCGATAACACAGCAGCCGGTGTCTCCAGTGTGGAGTAGCTCATCATAGAATCCTTTCCCATTGATCCTCCCTTCTATTCATCCCTGCTTCCTCTCCCTACCTACAAAGCTTCTCACCAGCCTATTCTCCTCCATTCCCAGTCATCTTTGTCCCGTGGGTCAATTTCTTTGTAATTTTCTAAGAGTTCTCTTATGGATTTCAGAGTTAATTGGGCAGACTTTCCTGGGTTCTATGGGTTGAGATGTAGCTGTTTTTTTGCCAGAGGAATAAAATAGATGAAAATAAAGCTATCACTTTAGGGATCAGCCCAGAATTGATGAATGACTTCCTACGTTTTCAGTTCTCCAGTGGTGGCATGTAACTTACTCCATTACAGACTACCGGTGAGAAGCTGGTTCCATCCCATACAAAGCATGCCTTAGCTTCATTTCCTCCCAAGCCCAAGCCCAAGGGGAGAGAGAACAATTGTGATAGGTAGACACAAAGGCAGGATATTTATTTAGAATTCTCAGCATCAATGGGAAAGTGCTTTGGTTAGAGGAAGTCTAAATGATAATTAGCATTGACTTTGTCTGCAATCATGATGACACTTGCCATTAATTTCTGTAGTGTGATATTCTATGCAGTAGACTAGCCCTGCACATTTATAAATACAGTTGAAATTGGACTTTAATCAATGCAATTAAAATAACCTGGTATGCCCGATAGACTATGTCCTTCTCCTAGATAGATTTTCAAAAAAAAAATAGTCTTGACCATGTAATGAAAGGTACCACTCACGTTTCGCTGTCTGCCATATCCAATAACTCTGAAGGGCCTAAACAAGAGAAAGGGAAGATGTTCATCAGAAAGAAGCTTAAACACAATCTATAATCATTCAATTAAAATGTCCTAGAAAGGTTAATTGAAATAGAACAACTTAGTGATAGAGATTATAAAAGAAAAGAAAAGAAAAAAAGAATACGATTCTGTGGCCTGTCAGTCACCCACCTCCTGTCTCATGGAATCAGAAAGCTGGCAGAAAGGGAGATTTGGAAGTTGTTATAGTTTCTATAACCAAGGCTCTTTCAACAAAGGTGAATAAATAAAATTAATAGGAATGGAGAGCTTCAAAACAATGAAAGGGCTACTTACAGAGCAAAGGGCTAATTGGTAGCTTTTGAGGACTATTTCTCACTCTCTAGCCATGGATAATAAGGATAGAGACCTTGGTACGGTGGGAAAACTCAAAGAAATGACACAAACCATTTAGTCCAATTTCTTTACTTCAGAAATGGTGGAAATTTCTATTTTCTGAACACACCAAACTACTTTTTTAAATCACTTTTTGATTTCTTTCTTTCTACATATCCAATAAACCCCTACAAGTTTTGGCCTATGCTTTTCCCAGCAACGTGTCTCTCTCCAGGGGTATCAGCTTGAGTCTGATGTCAAGCAGATGTTCAAATATTAAGTTGGATGAATGACTAAATATGCTTGGAAGGTCTTTGGAAATAGGGCCCTTGTGAATTGCTCTCTTAATTGGTGGAGGTCATCACTAAGGAAAATAACTTCTCATAACATAAGAAGAGGAAGAGGCTATAAGTTTCTAACAGAGAACATCACTGGCCAAAAAGATGAATAATCCTCCCATTTTTCAGTCATTTTAACTCCTTCACTTTGACTTCTGCTACTCCTTAGGAGCAGGTAAGTCTTCTCTTACAATGTCCCTTTCTCTCTGGATCTCTAACTGTGTCTCTTTCTGTTTTTCTCTCACGCTTGCTTGCTCCGTCTCTCTTTCCCTCTTTCTTTATCATCTTTTCTGACATACAGACTTCGTAATAGGTCTCTGCCTAGACTGTAATTCATGGACAGAAACTATTACTAAGGAAAGTATAAAGGTCGTGTATTTTCAGATTTCCAAGTTTCCATACACATATCGTATCTACTCTCTCCTCCCTTGTGTTTAATGAAGTTTACAGTTTTTCTCCTGGGACTACCCTTTCTTAATTTATTGCTAAGTTTCCCTTTTCTCACATAAGCAAAACTAGTAACAGGCCAACTAAGGATCATCCCTCACACTTCCCTGGCTTTAAAAGCCGGGTTCCCTACTCTCCCCTTTCATAACAGTCTTCCTTTCCTAGCAGTCTTCCAGGGCTACAGCCGACATGCTCTCCCAGAGGCTCCCTCTGAGACAGGGTTCTCTGAAAAGACAATCCCAGACAAAAGTCATCAGATTCCTTCTTTTGATTTCCCATAGTACTTTTTAGGTTCAACCTTGTATTATGTATTTGCTTCAATATGCCTGGTCTTCTTAAATAAATCATTCTACATCTTTCAAATGTAAGACTATCTTAAATATTTTTTGTACTTCTCAAAATTATGTTAGTAATTTAACAGAGACTTAAGTCATTTATATGTGTCTCTCAGTTCTATAGTTCTAAGAGGAAATAATAAGCAAAAAACAACCACGAATGCCAATTGTTCCCCTACCTCATGCACACCCAAAGATGTTCAAAGCTGTATAGGGTGACAGTAATTAGGAGTGACCTTTTTGGAGTTGTCACACTTAGACTCAATATCCAAGCTCTACCACTTGCTAGACAGTTTAGGTAGGTTCATAAGAAAATCTTAGAGGTCTTAACACAGCTAGATTTAAGGGCTCCTTGAGTCCTTTGGTTGTCACCTATATCAAGTGGATTGGTAACAATTCTCCCACTGGATTGGGACGGTGTTGATGCATCAGTGCATGTGATGTACTTACAATAAGGCCAGGGACACCACGATCACTCCTTAGAGAGTAATAACAGCAGTTCTCTGGCATGCATCAGCTGATCCCATCAAGTCTTAACTCCATATCGGGGATGGAAGGCCATCTTCCAGAGCTGCTTTCCTCCCACTTACACTAGAAGTCACTTGCCGACTCTAATTGGAGGTCCTGCGAACCACACACTCCATGCCTCCTCACTTGCTGACAGAGTACCCTCAACACAATCCAGAGCACGAGGATCCTGGCACCTGAAGGGCCCTCTACCAAGTTCCCCTCAGCAAACCTTTTAGTGGTGTGAGAGGAATTCCATCAACACTCAAGACAGACTCAGGACAGACACCAGACTCGGGACAGAAAGCTACACTCCCGTTGTTGTTAATACTTAGGCAACAGTGACCTTGCTGTATTTTCTTCCTTATTTGGCACTGCAATTCAGTGCTTGTTCTCAGAAGTGCTCTTCATGGTGGGTGCCTGGGGGTCTTTCGAGTCCAAGCCTGTCTCTGTGCAGGTGGGGAGGTCCTAAAGCACTTTAATTAGGGGAAAAACAGTAATAGTCTGACGATCTAAGGGTGGCAACAAGGAACAAAAAGGATCCTGTTCCTCCCAATCGCTGACCAGAACCACTACAGCTGCAGCCACTTCAGAGGCATTCTAGCTATGCTGGGGGCATGCTGGGGCCTCTCTACATCCTCCCTTTAATCCTCTGCAGCTGACAGAGGTAAAAGACAGAGGCACACTGATACGGAAAGGTGGACAGTTTTGCTTTTAGTACATAAAAGAAACTCCACGTTAGGGTTTGGGGAATGATCTGAAGTGGCTGATTCCATTAACCTCAACACTTCTTCTCTTCCATCAGACAGAAGATCACAAGATGGCACAGCATTTTGAACACTGGCAAAGCAACCAGGCAATGAAGAAGAGGGAAGAAGGGTCATCCGTTTGCTACAGATGTGAGTAGGGAGCAGCTTTCAACTGCATAGGCATTGTTCTGATCCATCCTTTTTTGAGTCTGTTTGCCAAGTAAAAGCCAGAGCATCCTGATAACAAAGCTTCAAGTCTTTCCTGATTTGCACTGAGCTCACCTATCAGGACCCATGCTTCAAATGCTGAGCTCTCTAGAAATCTTAGTGTAAGATTTAGGGGACGGAGGTGGGGGGGATGGCCGGTGAGTCAAAAATAACCAACCAAGACCACCTATAGTCTCTTGGAAAATAAAATATAGACCGGGTGCCTGTGGCTCACGCCTGTAATCCTAGCTACTCAGGAGGCTGAGATCTGAGGATCATGGTTCAAAGCCAGCCCGGGCAGGAAAGTCCGTGAGACGCTTATCTCCAATAAACCACCAGAAAACCAGAAGTAGTGCTGTGGCTCAAGTGGTGGAGTGCTAGCCTTGAGCTGAAGAGCTGAGGGAGAGCACCCAGGCCCAGAGTTCAAGCCCCACGACCAACCAAAAAAAGAAAAAAGAAAAAGAAAATACATAACAAATAGCATCTTTGATTTGTTAGGTTGAATTTCATTAATAAAGAAAAGAAAAAAGACAAGAGAAAAAAAGAAGATGGAATGAGAAAAAATGAACCTTCAGTGAATGCCAATAAGAGAGCATTTCATATTTATATATACCCCATTATACTTACCAGCGGAACTTTGGGTCTCTCTCTCTCTATCAGGACTTACTAAAACATCTGTACTCCATCTCACAATTGACCTGCACCACTAAATGACTGTGAAATATGCCTTTGAAGGGCTAATGGTGCAAATTATTCTATGAAATCTCCACAGATCATCAGAAGCCTGCAGTTGTTATCATGGGAACCAGGTATAGGTTATAGGTATATGTAGCCATCCTGACGTCCCTTGCTAGAACTGAGGCCACAGAGGTCAGAGCCATGTTACACACATGTACAAGTGTGGGAAAGTAACTGAACTGAACCATGCCTTTAGTTTTTGCCTGTCCAATGGAGAATGTAGAAAGTACTATGATCTCAAGGTGCTCATATGTCTAACATCCAGAACAATACACATCAGCAGGGATGATTACTATAACATTGACCAAAAAAAAATATATATACACATATGTTATATATGTATATATATTATATACATGTATTATATATTTACTATATATTATCTCTCTCTATATATATTTTTTTGGTTGTGGGGCCTGAACTCTGGGCTTGGGCACTGTCCCTCAGCTCTTCAGCTCAAGGCTAGCGCTCTACCACTTGAGCCACAGCACCACTTCCTTTTTCTGCGTATGTGGTGCTGGGAATCGAACCCAGGGCCTCATGCATGCAAGGCAAGCACTCTACCACTGAGCCACCTTCCCAGCCCTAACCAAAATATTTTTAATGAGTGAACAAATGACATCTTGAAATCATTTTGGATCCCAGTCAATATGACAACTTCTTTTATTTTTCTAAGAAAGATCTATAATTGAAACATCGATTCAAAAACTATATGATCTTAGAAATGACTGAAAAAATTAAGGGAAAAAAACAAAATCTATTCAGAAGACATAAAATTAGTATTCAGGTGAAGCCTAGGGAATGAGAAAGGAAGTAAAACTTCATAAATCTTTCAAAATGACAAAGTAAACACCAGTTCACACTCTATAGGGCTTTTTGTTGCCCTGTCTACACTGGCCTTCTTGATGGGACTTGATTATACGTATTGTATTTGTATTATCCATGTTGTATCTGCTGTAACATGCATCCACATCAATGCATCAAAATCCTCTTGCTCCTCCTACCGCCTCTCCATGCCCTCCCTCACTGGGTACCCCATTTCCCATTAGTCTCCCTGACGCTGCCAACAGACCATTCCAAATCCCCCCCTGCCATGGGACAAAGGCTGCACAGATGTGAGGAGGGCTAGCACTGAGAAAGCTAACAGTACTGTCATCCTGTCCCAGCAGGAAGGTAGTGGTAGTTTCTCTCTAGGACCAGAGGCAAAAAAAGAAGTTTAAAAAAAAAAAAGAGAGAAAAGAAAGAAAGGAAAGACTGAAGGCAAAAAAAAAAAAGTTGTAAGCCATTGAAATCAAAAAGGAAATGCATGAGTGGGATTTCTAT